CAATATGTAATTGTTTAAAGTCAGTCATCTTAATAATATTAATGAAAAAAAATATATAATCCAATAAACAAAGAAAAACATATAATCAATTTCGAAACAAAAAATAATAATCAATCAGAAATATCAAAATATCATTGGACAGAAATTTACACCGATAAAAATAAATCGATGATAGTGACATCCAATTCAACCAAATACCATTAGTTCGAATAAATGATGAAAAATAAGACAAAAATAAAATTTGTACCATTAGTTAGATATTATTGTTGATTATATAAATAAAATAATTTAATTAAGATATTATATTTACGACTCTTGTTTTTAGATGACGATCCGCCATGATGATACTGGCAACTGCAGATGTTTTGCAATTCATATGATCCGAGTGGCTGAATTAGCCAATAATTCTAGTCATCCAGACCTTAGAATATAACGAATATTATCAAATATTTGATCATAATTATAATAACCCTGTCGACAAACAATTTTAAAGAGGTTTGTTTGTATAGATATATTGAGTTTACATAAGTTTTTTTTTTTTGTTTAATGAGTAATCAATTTACTGTTGCACATGTATTTTAGTTGTAGTAGATAAACATCTTTTATTTGATGTTCCTATTGATGTTAAATCTATTGTTGCAAGACCTATAACAGCTCATAGTTCTATGAACTTGTTCTCACCAAAAAAAGAAAAAACATTGAAATAATTCTCAAGATCGAAACTACTATGGAACTGTCGTAGGCTAATTTGTTATCGAGTGTACTTACCCAGATTTTATTCAAGTTCGTAAAAGTTATCTGTAGGTAACAACTAATAATTTAATGATAATAAAAGAAAAAATAAGAATTATTTTCTTTTACTTATACATGTTACTGAAATTTTATTTAATTACATAAAGCTTTAGTGCAATTTATTGAATTGGAAATTAAACAATCTATAATTGGCTTAGATAATCATGTGTTTAAAAAAAAACCTTTTATAGGAAAAAAATAATAATAATAATCTTAATTTGACTTAATATCTATATGATCAAGAAAAACAGTTATCAAAATAGTATCCATTTTCTCAACAATCATCATAAATCAATAACTGCGAGATGAATCGGAAAACTTCGGCAATAATCATACGTTTTACATATTTGATGCTAGAACAATTTGTCGTTTTGATATAATTCAATAATAGTTTATGTTTATTTTTCGTTGAATAAACATTTTATTAAATTCAGCTTGATAACTATCATTTACCGAATAATACAATTATTGCAAACGCTTTTAATGTATATATTTCAATTTCTGATTTGACTTTCTGTAGTTATAATCAATTCTAACAAAAAGATTGAGACATTGACTTTCATAAATGACCTCAAAAAATTGTCATATGTCTATGCTACTGTTTAAATGGCATTTCTTCTAATTCAGTTCTAATCGAACGGTAGTAATTGCATCATCTATGATATTCCATTAATTTGATTGTGATTACATGAACTCAACATTACGAAATCAAATATGGATATTTTGAAAAAGTAGAATTAATTTAAATTTATTTGGTTTAGATCAAATTAAAATAAAGAACTTTTAACTATTCATTTGTCTTCAATGATCTAGTTCTTTGAGTGAAGGATAATATTTTCAAAAAAAAAGGAGAAATTGTATCATTCCCAACAGAAATGCTTCAGTGATTTTTTTATTTGAAGAATAGAAGTTCAAAAGATTGATCGAAATGCTAATTATCTTTTATTTTGATTGTATAATAATATTTTAGCACTATATGTTCATTCATAAGAACAAATGGATTATGTTTTTCTGAGAAAAATCTTCAGTTAATTATGTATGGAAGAAATAAAATGAAAATATTTCAAAGATATATCAAAGAATATTTATCTTTATCTTAACTTGGATATTTTTTCTTGATAGAATTCATTTGAGTAGAAAAATGAATGGAAAATTATGTATTAGTATAATTAGATTGTTTTGTATACATTTATAGTTTTGCTTGCCATTTCTCTCGTTGATATATGTCATTTTATGTGAAGTAACGCATGTTCTTATTTGTCAATAAAATGTCACTATTGTCGGATTCAGCCATCTCTACAGCTGAACTTTTTTCCTAGCAATACATTGATTATTGCTCAAAACCTGAGGGTGTGAAATATGAAGAGTGAGAAGACCTAAACTTGCATCCATCGTCATCACACCCTCAATCTGTTTCAATTAATTCATTTTCTCCATTAAACACACGCTTAACAGTCTTTCTTGAAAAAAGTCAGTGTTTTTTCGATTGTTCTAACTTTAAAAAACATCAGTTCTTTGATGCTTTTCTTTTATTTGAAATAAAATTCACTGCTTTTATAAAATATAGTAACATTCAGAATTTTATGCTCTCTGACTATATGAATATTGTTTAATTGCCCAATGACTTATCAATATTGTGGAAAAATGAAGCACACATGTGAATTATGAATAATAAGTTTTCGTCTTTCAGAAGTTAATTAAAAAGATTAAGATGTCTGAGAGAGCTTATTTTTGTGTCTTGATATGCTGCAAGCGATTTATATTTCTCTAGTAAGAAATATTGGTAACGTATTAAAATAGAAACATTATTGATAAAGTGAATAAGTATATTTTTCTTTTGTTTTTCTGCAGTCACTATTAATTTTCGTTAGAATTGTTTTTGTGAATGGGAACATTAAATGATTCATCCATTATCAATAGTTAGTGAATAGAATTTTTTATGAAGCCATTAATGTAAAAATATTTTCATTCAAGATTTTTGAGATAAATAATTAAATATCAAAAACTGAAGTTTTATATACATATTTTATATTTTTTCAAAGAATTGAATCAAACGTATGACGAGCAAAATCGAAGTGAAGGAGATTTTGAAAAGGAAAGGTATCTTATATCACATGTATGTCTTAGAATTATAACATGAGACCATAATAAATGATTACAAGTAGTAATTCGATTGAAGCTTAATTTTTTCCTCTACATAGTGCAATTCATAATATATGCACGGAATGGTTCTCATAGAAAAGTTTAATCTTTTGATCAATATTATTGAATCGCTTACATTCAAATACATAAATATTATCAAATTGATGCAATAAATAATTCTAAATCAAGTAATTATCTTATATTCTAATAACATGAAAACTTGAATACAACAATTACTATATGACTCATACAATCAGAACAATAGAGACCATTCAGAAAACTGAAACACACATAACAAAAATCGTTAATTTTTTATTAGTAGAAGAGAAAAAATTCAAAGAAAAAAAAAAAAACTTTTTCTATTGTTGTGTTTAATGTGAGTCTATTCTGTAAACTATTGTCCAAATGAATTATTTCATGTTGTTTATGAAATCTGTTTTTTTTTGTTATAAAATCTTTTTCTTTATGAGAGAATTGTTTTAAAATTATGTCAGACATTAGAAACTCAACTGAACTCTCATGTCAATTCTGACATAAATTAATCCAATAAAATTTACCTTAGGTTCGTCATTCAATTACACTCTTGTGTATATATATATGAAACTGGAATACGAACACGACATTCAATACATGAATAAATTGTACTTATATGTTGCTCTGTGATTTTCTCGTGTATCATCAGGCTGTAGATGTTGATGTTTTGGGCTGCAAGAAAACCCACACCAATATCCAAACCATGATGTCATCTGAAGGATTAAAGATAATTTTTTCAACTTAGCAGTAATCTAGAATTGATGGATTCATCGAAACTTCAATCTACGATAGAAAAACTTCCGTTTGAAAAATTACTTGATCTGAAAACATATCGGAAATTATCTATACCATAAAAAAGACACTTTTGAAATAAATGAAAGGTGAATGCAAAGTTCAGTTTGATTGTTTTTTAAAGCTATCCGATCTTGTTAATGTCATGGTGGTGAAATCTATTTCAAAATCTACTTTTTTCTTTTAATTTCCAACACTTACAATTATAGTTAAAATATGTGTAGAAATTACATTTATCTCTCACTTTCGTAAATTTTAGAAAAATTTCTCTAATGAATTTTCAATTCTTAATGATTTACTGAAATCAGTGATTATCGCTGTTTTTTTGAAAAACATCGTTTTTTGTACCTTAATCACGATAAAATCTCATTTAATCCCTGATTCTTTTCATCATTAAATGTGATTAGTCAAGATTTTCATGACATGAAAGGGTTAATATATACCTTGCTCTTCATAATACAAACGCTATAAACAGCGAATGAAGATATAATTTTTTTTTCTGTAGCCTTTTTTTTTAAAGGCAGAACGAGTTTTAATCAAGAAATAGTCATAATTATGTTACGATTAGAGTGACATCTCATTCAAATAATATCATTCGTCCCAAAGCAAATATAGGATGGATAGAAAAAAAAAAGTAAAAAAATTGTTCTGAATGATACATTACGAGTATATAAGCTCCTATTGTTCATCTTTTTATCTTATTGAATATAAATTTGTCATATAATATTTTAAATGAGACAAACTATTAAAGTAGTCTGATTTCTTTCTGAATAAATTGATAATTTTTTAATAAATTAACATGTGTATATGCTAATGAGCCTTATCTAGATAAATTTAATATCTTTACGAATTCATTTAAGAGTTTGTCAATGTCAAGGTAATATTTTTATTTATTGACAAAAAAAAATTGTGAAATGGATTCTATTTCTTAACTTGTTTTTCTCGTGAGCCTTATCCAAACAGTAAACTCAGAGAGAAAAATGCCACAATAAATCCAATGTAGCTTCCATTAGTTGTACTTTTCGTTATCGTTTGGATGTAATCAGCTTCTGCTCTTATACATTATTTTATTATGATTCACAGTTTTGCCTCTTTTTTTCTCTCGCTATGTCTTTTCGTTAACCAACGATACCATGTGAAGCTTTATTTTGTTGTCTTCTTTTCCTATTATTTTTTTTTGTTTACATAAGTACATATGGTTAATGATAGGTACACTTATAATATCAAAAAACTTATTTTAGATGGCAAATCATGGTGATTCAGGTGGTGTTCGTGCTTTGGTTCGCCATACGGCTGCGATGGCTGAATTAGCCATTCATGCTGGTCATCCAGATCGAAAACATAATGAATATTTACCATATCCTGATGATAATTTTGATGAAATTGATGATGAACGTTTTGAAAGAAGTTTGTCTAGATTTATATATATATACATACATTTCATATTTATTTGAGGTCTTTTTTTTTATTTAGCTGGTAAATTTACTATTGAACATATACATAATCGTCGTGGAGAAACATTTGTCCCTAATGCTCGAGTTCATATTAAATCAATTGTTGCTGACCGTACTTATGCCGCTTTTACAGAATTTCTTAATCCTTATTTGTAAGTTTAATTGAATAATAGTTAAAATTTTCAAAAACTAATGCGTTTAATTGTATAAGATATTGTATAACAACTCGATATGGTCCTTTTGAATGGTCTGTTTATAAACGTTACCGACATTTTCACGATTTACATAAAGCCTTGGCTCACTTCGTTGAAATAGAAACAAAAAGATCATTGAGTGATTTAGAAAAGTATGTATGAAATAGAATATTGAAAAGTTAATATTTATTTTATATCTTATCAATAGAAAAACATTAGAGATGTATAGAATTACTCTAACCTATCTTACAGGGTAAGGTAAGATAAAGGTAAACGTATTGCAGTCTATGTTAAGAATTAGAAAATGACTATCAGTCACGGTGCGACATAAGTTTACTCTGAACATCACTAAAAAAAGGATCTAACAAACAGGATGACTCACAATTGTCATCGACCAACTTAATATTATTGAAAGTTCCCATGTAATCAGAAATGTGAAATTAACACGTTGTAATAATTTATATTCTTCTTCGTCGTAACTAATTCTACACAGTCAAAAATGTCCCAAAAATTTGACATCTTAGTGGTGGCCTTTTTGTCATACTTTTACCTCGTGATAACAATCTGAGGCAACAATTTTCTAGAGTTTTCCATATAACCCCATTAAAACTCGTAAATTTATATGTTTTTGCCTGTGTACATCTCGTTTGTAGAAAGAAAAACTTAGTGCAGTCTATATACGGTCAGTTCTACTCATTGATAGTAACGATTTGTCAAAATTGAATGTTTCGGATGTTATTAATTCAATTAATATGCTAATTAAAATTAGCGAGTAATGAATACAATGTGCATAAATCTACATTACAAGCTGTGATAAGATATCGTGTTCAATAATGAAGAAGATACTCTATGAAATATTGATCCGTACAAAAAAAATCAGAGATAGAGAAGCTCAGAAAACTTGTGACATGCCATCTTTCTTCAAATGATACATTAATTGCCATATAGATGTCAATAACTGAGTTGGAACTGTTGATAAAAATTATTCTAATATCTTTTAATTTATCTTCAAAAGGAGACAAGAAGTTTTTAGCGAAGAGGAAAGAATAATTCTTTCAATATTTAAATACCTATTCATTATATGGTTTCGAAGTCTTATTTCAAGTTTCGTTAAGAAATTCTCATTCCTTTATGGACATCAATTAAAAGACATTAAAATAATTTCTACCGATAGCTGCAGTTTAGTTATTAATATCTACATGACAATGAATCGATTCTTTAGAAAAATATGATATTGCACTAGTGTTCTACGTTCGTCTACCTCTGATTTTTCTATGGATCAATATTTCATGAAGTCTCTTATTTAATAATGAGCACAACATTTTACCATTGCTTGTACCGTGGATTAACGTGTATCAATATCATTCCTCACTAATACTAATTGCAATCTCAGTTTATTTAGTAGTTTCCATATATTTCTGAAACTTAAATATTGTAGAAAGAAATGAAGCGTATTCGACAGAAAATTTGAAATAGAAAAGCCAAATGAATTTCTCTTCACATACAGATAGTTTTGTAGATGATGTTCAATATCAAAAACTAGTCAGAAATCAAAATACTTGTATGTGATCGACAGAAACAAAACAACTTTATATTAATTCTTTGATTTATATAGTTGAAATATTTTATTGTTTAGTACATTATTGTAATAGTGCACTAATGTATAAAAAAGTTGAAAGATTCATGGAATTCATTACATATATTATTTTTTCTATCTCAAATAAAGTTTAGCCACTGTATATGTTTTGTCTTTGACATCATCATACAAATATTAGTACAGTAATAGGAGTTTTGATGAAAAAGCAGAAATAATAACTAACGACAATGAGGAAAACTAATTTGTATATGCAGCTTATAACTTCGATGGATGACAAAATAGCAAACCAAGAGTTTCTTTACGAACATGTATGTCTATTAAGTAGTGAGAGGGTATGTATAGACGATCAAGAAGACAATAAATGAATGATCGCTGCTCTCTATCTTAATTAGAGTAGTCGCCTTATCTACTTATTCATATGAGAAATTTTCTATCGAAAAATTCGAGACATTAAAATCTACTAATATTGATTGAGTTTTGATCACTGTCATCTACAGTCTGTTATTGTCTACTTGATGTATTTTGTGTTCTATTCCAGAGAGTTATATCGATCTTGAAAGTATTTTTTTCGAAAATGAGACATTTATCGCATGAGATTTGCAACTGAATACCGGTAGATTAAATAGCAGTATAAATAAAAATTCGTTGCAATACTTTATTATTGCACAAAGATCCATAAAAAAATATATTGTTTGAAAAAGAATTGTTAAACATCGTCTTTTGAACTTGAGAACGTAGCGATTCTGATCATAATGTCATTGAGACATTGAAACAAAGTACATCTATGATATGGGTTAATGTGACCTATAATAGTATTGGATAAATATTGTAAAGAAACATATTCGTGTGTATATATATATTTATTCTATATGAAATGACGAGAAGAATTATATTTCGATTAATAAACTTATGAGAAAATCCTTATGAAAATTAGAATTGTGTTTCATTGAAATTTTCTAGCTTTATAAAATAATGTGTATGAAGTATGAATAGATTGTTGTACTCAAATAATATTTATAGACAAATGAAACGTTCAGCACGATCTCATTGAACACATCTTCTAATGAATTGATTTTATAAACCTGTTATAATGTCCTGCCTCTTCGTATTCTCTATTGTTAAAATAAAATATAACTAAATCCATCTGTTTATGCTTGACGAAGAAAGAGAAAATATTTTCTTTCGTCCATGGGAAAAAAAGCAAATGCACATGACATTATGTTTTAGAATTCTTTTTCGATATTGATGAAGTAGTGGTTAATTCTCTCAATTAGATAAAAATTTGTATTTTCTATATTTGATATAATATTTTTTTCTACATCATGACAGACATTGTGAGGATGCGATCGCAAACTGTATACTAATATCGACTTGTTAAAATAGATGAACTACTTTCTTAATGTATTTTTTGTGGCTTAAGTAAAAAAAAGGTAGTGATGGCCTGAAATAGTCAGCATCGAGGAAGAATATCGTGGATTTTTGCAAAGAAGCGATATCTTCCTTCTAACAGATTATCAAAAGAGAATTTCAGCTTTACTAGAAGAAATCAAAAGAATTCCCATGAATGAAAGAATGTTATACTCTAAACATTTCCTGATCGCGTCATCAATAAATAAGGATGAAGAATTCTATCCCAAGATACACAGAAAAAAAACAATCTCCCTGTGGTTTCGATAAAATTCGAACTATTTTCTTTTCAGACGATAGCTTTAATCTTTCTCTACAAAACTGTGTATTCTAGTCAACTATCAACAACTGTATTTTTTATAAATAACGTCAAATTACAGAGATAAGTTGGAACTTCTGGATCCTTCTTTAGTTTACGTTTTCTTTAATGATCACCATCCGTTCATAATGCGAAATGAATCTGTAAAATTCGTTATGCAACGACTTTATACGTAAAATATTTGTGTATTTATTGTATTTTGCGCGACTAAAATAGTGTAAATTGAATTGATTTTTTTTTCATCATATTTCTATTTGTTATAGACTTCAAGATGAAAATAATGAATATCCATGTTTCCCAACAAGAAATGATCGTATGGCATTTATTAATGATGCTATTATTCAAGAACGTTGTGTAAATTATATAATGAACTTTTACTTCCTATGTTATTATTTTGTTCCATTTTGTATAGGAAATTCTTGCCGAATATCTCAATAAAGTTCTCAAACATCCTAAATTTCGTAGACATCCAGCAACGGTATGAATATATAATTGATATTATTAATAATTTTAGCATAGAGATTAATCAAATATCTAATATTTCTGAAAAATTCCTTTTTAATAACATCGTTTTATACTATTATAATTGTTTTAGTGTGAATTTTTTGAAGTAAGTTGTTTATCATTCATCTATGGTATATCAATTAGTCGAAAAGAAGGATATCTATTAAAACGATCGCATGATGATTATCGTGGTCAGCATACGTTTTTTCGTCTACCATTTTTTTGTGATGTATGTAAACGTCATCATGATCGAAAGTATGTTTCATTTTTCTCAATAATATTATTTTCAATAAAAAGATCGTTGTTTTTTTTTTATTAAATATAGATGGTTTATTATTAAAGATAGTTATATAACTTACATACGACCTAATACGCATGAATTACGTTTTCCAATGTTAGTTGATCGTGGTTTTCACATTCTAACTGGTATTCGTCATGTTCGTACTTATCGTGGTATTAAAATAAAAAATTTACAACGTACATTAGTAATTAAATGTCGAACAACACGTGATTCTGATGAATGGACACAACATTTAGCAGAATTAATTGAACAAGCAAAAGGTTTTGTCGATAAAACAGCAAGTCGATTTAATTCATATGCACCTATTCGAGAAAAACAACTAGCTTACTGGTAAAATAATTAAAATAAGGATTTTTTATTTAATTAGAATATCTGATATAGGTTTATTAATGGTAAATCATATATGGAAGCCGTCGCTAAAGGACTTTTAACAGCGAAAGAAGAAGTTTTCATTACAGATTGGTGGCTTTCACCTGAAGTCATGTTAGTAAGACCAACAGAAGACGAAGAATTTCGACTTGATAATATATTAGGAAGAATAGCTGTAAGCATTTAATTTGTTTTATTATTCATGTCTAATAGTTTTTTTTTTTCGTAATGTATAGGATGCAGGAGTTCGTGTTTATGTAATGGTTTTTAAAGAAATGTCATTTGCTGTAGGCTTGAATAGTTCATATACAAAACGAATATTAACTAGTAAAAGTAAAAGAGGATTTATTAAAGTTAGTTTAATATTGTAATTAAGAATATTATAAATAATTCGTTTGTTTTAATTTCTAAGGTGATTCGACATCCAGATCACCATCCTAACGGTGGAGTATTATTGTGGTCTCATCATGAAAAAATGGTTGTTATCGATCAAAAAATTGCTTTTGTTGGTGGAATTGATTTATGTTATGGCCGTTGGGATGATGATTTTATGCGGTGAGTTATTATCTTATATTAGATTTCGTGTTGTTTGACAGTATATAAGGCATTAATCTCTAACGGACAAAAAGGCATACATATGAAAATACTTTTTATTGTAGTGATATTTTTCCATGTTTTAGTGAACACTTGTATCAGTGTGACAGCGTGCACTAGCTACACAGAATGGTTTTCGTCGGTAGCAGACCTCTAAATCGGACCCCTTCTTGATGGTCTGTATTGAGCAAGGGGAAAATAGTGGACTCCAATCCTGTGAAGTTCTCAAAAATAGAACATTACGTTTTTCTCTCTATCTATTACAAGTTAAGTACATATTAATTAGTTGACTACTAAGTTGAGCTCAGCTTAATTAGTGCTAATTAGATGAGTACTCATCTTAATTAGTGTTAATTAGATGGGTACATGGCTTAATTAGTGTTAATTAGATGAGTACTCAACTTGTAATGCATACAGAAGAAAATATGCAATATTCTATTTTTGAGGACTGCAAGACTCTCGAAGTATTTGGAGTCCAATGGAGTCTCGGAATCATGGAGTCTGCTATTTTCCCCTTGGTATTGAGACAAGAATTCTGTATGCATTTCTGGTTCGTATTAGAGCCGAGCTTGGGCAACTTACAATGACACTAATAAAAATATATTTCTCTTACAGAGAGAATTTTTAAATGATCGAACTCCACCATCACTGCAGTTGTTTACTAGAACATTGTAAAGAGTTTACTATCATAGTGATCTCATGAGTTGAATAAGATCAGACAATTATAAAACTTCTTGAAGAATATCATTAATAAAGATAATCTTGCATGAGAGAAATGCTCGCTAATCAATTTCAAAGAGTCAGATCGGTTGGTATCTCCAGTTACACTGTTCCACTTCAGTAACATTCGTGCCACTTGATTCAATTGATAGTGCACTTGGTCTTGTGTGTAAATGAGATATGTCATTGAACTGAATAATTTCTTTGTTTTTATTTATTGACTAAATCATGCATCCGAAATTTTTGCATAAAAAAGATTCTTGGTTTATAAAAGTTGCGAAGTGCAAAATGTATGTAAGGAGTTTTGACACAAAAAAGTAAGAATGAAATCGGTTATCCTTTCAGCAATAACCGATAAAAATAGCATTTTTCGATTCTGATTAAAATCTTATTTTGCAACGTTAAATATAGGCTTTAATTGATTATGGTCTTTTCTGGTCGACTAACATAGCTTTACCGATTGAAATTGTTTTTTAAAAACCAATTAAGAAAGATTAAAATCAAGTAAAACCTATCTTCGAAGTTGAAAAACCAGATTCGTTCTGTTTTCTTACGTGGAAAAGCTTCCTTGAAAAAAGAAATGAAGTTCAAATCGAGCGATCCGGCAAAATTTTTGACTTGCGGGAACCGTAGAGAAAATCTTTCTGGATCGGATTGAACGTTCTATTTCAAGTGCTGATTGGTAGTCAGTTAACCGTAATTCCACACTCTACATATGTCAGTGGGAATCATTTGTTTTTCTAAAATAGATTTAGAACAAGTTTTGTAAGCAATCATAAACGATCCTAATAAATAGATCGCTTTCAATTCTTCTAGCATAGATATTGAATGGTTTATAATGAGTTGTTTATTCTGATTCGTAGACATGTGTGATCATTGAATGATTTTCACACAACAAACCCATGAACTTTCTTTTAGAAATCATTAACCGTATTTAATATAGGTTATAGAGAAAAAAAACAAGGTTTTACAAAAATAAATCATTCAAAACCATTGAAATACTTTTATTTATTTTCAATGATTTTTTTGAAATCTATCCTTACGAATCATATTAGGATGGAGTTCAACTAAACAGATTCAAATGAACTATTGTTACAACATAACATGATATATAGATTCCAATTTACTAATAATTAAGAACACGAATGTTTTTGATAACGTTGCTTATTGAAGTTGTTTCTTTTAAATTATTGAAATGAAATGTAATCAGAAATGAATTAACATAAATAACGAACTTCAATATTTTTTATTTATTGAACCAGATAGAGAATTAGGAGTTGTTTTCTGTTTTAATTCTTAGTCTTGTGGATTTGGGCGCAGAAAATGATACAACATTGAAATCGCCATATGATATAGTTGTAGAAAACGCAGCGGCAGGTGGCACAGAAACTGTAGAGTCAGCACAAAAAGCTACTACACAAATGGCTGAACAAGCTGGTGAAAAACCAATAAAGGTAAGGAAACAAAAGGAGAAAATAAAATGGAAAGACAACTATTTATCGTTCATATACGCACATGTCATATAAAGAAAAATTTCAATGTCAAACCAATGAAATATTTAATTAGTAGCAACAACTGTAAGCGTAAATGAACAAAAAAAAAGAGTTACAAAGTAAGAGTGTTTAAAATGATAGTAAATTTTAATATTATCCATCGAAAAATAAAAATAGGAAAATATATGCTATGATCTTTAAAAATATTTTTTTGATTTGTATTAATAATATTTATGAATCTATTTTAGAGTAGTGATCGTTTAAGAACAGTGTTTAGTGCTCCAAATAAAGCAAGTGAAGATATTAAATTTGGTGAACCCACTCATGAACATAAGATAGAATTTCGAAGGAAAGCATTAACTAAAAAATGTAAATATTTTATTGTTTTTATTAAATTATTCATTGTTTTTTTTTTGTCTGATTTTTCAAGGGTTCGAAACAAAGTTTATAGGTAAGAATAAATTGTTGTTCATTTCACATTCATTACAAAATAAAACCAAAAGATTATAATGTTCATATTCAGAAGATTATTTTTCTCAATTAGATTACTGTTATTCTATATTCTCATATATAAATATCAACTGATAAGTGTACTATATTTTAGACATGACTAATGAGTTGATTTCTAATAATCTAACTTTCAATTGATTTCATTTATTTTGTTATACTTTTTAACATAATTCTAAAACAAAATAACAGATTTTTGTTCGTTTTCATTTGTTTTTAATTGAATACATTTTGTGTGTTCTTAATATGTTTGACTGTGATTTTGTAAATCATCATCACTTGAATAGGAGCAGATGGCAATGAAGGTGATGTTGAATCAGATGACGGTAATACTAAATATTCTTCACCTTTAATACATACATTACTAATACTGTAAAGAAAACAACAACTAATTATTATAATAATAATAACCAACATTGAAAAATGATATAGAAGACGCTTCATTGGTATTATTATAAAGTTAATAGGGGTAACATTCGATCTTTACTTGCTAGATTAATCATATTGTTGCTAATGCTATCATTACACTTACTTATATGCTATTTCTTCTTCTCATTAATGTCACTCACACAATGCTTTTAATGGATATCATTGTACAAATTTTGCATGTCTTAATTAAGTTTTACTATTCTATTTTTATCGAAATGAATAATTAAATGCGACAGCTCTTTTTATTTTTTGTTTCGAAGCTTTTATGATTATTGCTGCGTAACTCTAGTTAGTCTAGAGAAAAACAATTAAAATTTCGATTTTATGTTTTGAATATAAAAGATATACCAACAACATCTGATCGAAGAATGTTTGAAGATGATGAAAAAGTTGCTCGACGACCAGACAAATATGCACGGAAATGGCGAAAATTAGCTCAAGTAAATCATAAAATAAATAATCGATGTTATATAAACTCTTTGCACAACATGTCTGGTCAATTTTTATCTATTTATAAGTCATTGGAGAGAATTTTTTTCTAAATTAAAATTAGTTCACTAAGAGCAAGCCTTTAATAGAAATTTAAAAAAATATCTCAGTACAGAGTGTTTCATCTAAGTCAATTTTGTATTTTGATCGATATTAGTCTCGATCGAAATCTATTGTATCCAAAATATCGATATTCAATAGAAATGCTTGTCTTTTGAAAAATATTATTTCACGTGAAGAGTACTTGTTCGAAAGATGTTTATAGATTTTGAATCTTGTCGGTTCTAGCTTACTGTAATGTATGATTTGGTATACAATTAAGTTCTCTCCAATACTAGAAAGTCAAGGTTATCGTACAATTTGATTCAGAGAAGTTATGAACGAGAAAAAGACGTACATCGCGAATTGTGAACAATGTTTTCGATTTTAAAATTTGCTCACAACTAGCAAACCGTAAGTCTATAAAAAATTCTACATATATATTTAGGAACATAAGTACAGGGTCGCATTAGCTTTCGATCAATGCTAATTCTTTAGGTATTCATTTAAGATTAACTTGAATTCTTCGGTATTTCGACTTGTAACGAGTTCGCACAGCTCGGACTCGGTCCATCTCATTTTATCTTGGTGTTCATTTTCTAAACTTTGATTTCTCATAAGTATTTTATTTATTGTTTTTTGTTTTGCATGAATAACGCTGTATTGTTTCTACTTGAAACTCATTCTTATACTATAATAGCTGTACTCATAAGAAAATACAATTTGAGAATCTGATTACATATTTAGTAGTTTCTATACGTCAGCGATAAAAAGTATGTTGAGTTTAGCATAGAGATTGGGTATTTTCTTTATGCATATTTCTTTTATTTTCAAGAAATATTCATTAACTAATGCAAAGATGGTATTTGTATAAAGAAAGACAATGTAAAATGATACATCGTCTATGTAGCTAAATGAAAAGAAAAGAACCTTGAAATAGAATGGCGTCGACAAAACAAAATATCAAGTTACATAGTTTAGATCAGAGTAAGTGCCTGAGTTTGACCGAACTCGAGTATCTCAGGCATGGTACGTACCTATTGGTATTATTTGCATTAGAATTAGTTAATTCCAAGTTATTAGCATTATCTTTAATTCTACTACATATATTTCCTGCAATTATACTTCTAAGAGTTCATATTCCAACGTTTCCGATAACAGAACAATAATGATCAGTTTTGAGGACTTTTGAGTTAAGGTAATGTCCAAGATCTAGTCATCGATAATCTATAGATGAGCAGTTAAAATCATGTTAATTTAATGCTAAAATTTCAGCGCTAATCAATTTTAATGCAAATAATACCATCGCATTAAGGTTAATTCTAATACGACACTCTTAATAAGTATACATATTTATCAACATCTGTTAATTTAAAAATTTGCATAGGCTATAAAGAGTATGAAAATATTGATTCTAGCTGATTACTTTAAAATACTTTTCAGTAACTTATAAGTAAATGACAATTGATTAGAAATGTTGTAGAAAGACTTTTTTATACGTAGCTTAAAGCAAAGTCTAAATATGATCTTATTTAGAAAGCGAAAAAAGGCAGTGATGATTCTGATAATGAAGAAGTTGTCGAAGAGCCACAAGCAGTTATTAGTTTATCACTTGAAATTGATAGAAGACAGAAACTTTTTATTGGAAAAGATTATTCCAATGTATATGAAAAAGATTTTGAAACACTTGAGAAATACAGTGAAGGTAATTACTTTTTACTTATTTTGTTCATTTATTTCAAGTATTTTTAATACAATTTGTAACATAGACTTTATTGATCGAAAAATAGTACCTCGCATGCCATGGCATGATGAAGCACTTGTTGTATTTGGTCAAACAGCTCGAGATGTTGCGCGACACTTTATTCAACGATGGAATATCCATAAAGTTAGATGATAAAAAAAAAAAGTATTTCATCTTTTAATTTTGATTGGTTTTTTTTTTTTTCTAAGTGTGAAAAATATCTAAATAATGATAATTATCCATTTCTATTACCCAAGTCTTATGATGATGAAGAAGATTTAACTGTTAAAAATTGGAAAGATTTTCTTGAAAGTAGACCATTAAAAGTAGATGCTCAGGTATGTTATTATTTTAAATGAATATTCTTCAAGAAATAAGTTTAACTTAATTTTGTATTTAGTGTGTTCGTTCCGTTGGTCCATGGTCGGCAGGTACAAAAACAATTGAATCATCAATTCAAAATGCTTATATACAAATGATTGATGCTGCTAAACATTATATTTATATTGAAGTAGACTAATACTAATAAAAAAAAATCAAAAATATTATTTATAATTATTATTTTATATTTAGAATCAATTCTTTATTACTATTGCTCAAGATCCAGACGTTCGAAACCTATTAGGTGATACTCTTTTTCGACGTATAGAACGAGCACATAAGTATGATTTATTCTTAACTATATAAAATTTAAAAAAATTTTTACTTAATTAGATTGCAAGAAAAGTTTCGTATTTATGTTGTTCTTCCTCTTTTACCCGGTTTTGATAGCATTAATGCTGTACAAGCTGTACTCTATTTTATTATGCGTTCAATTACTAAGGGTGATAGTTCATTATTTAAACGGCTTGAAAGAGCAGGTAAGTCAGTATGTTTCTCATATTTTTCTTCGTATTTAGTATCGAATATGAAAATAGAATAGATTAGATGTTGTTATTTTATATTTGAAAAATGATAATTAATGAAATAAAGTACTTGGTAAAAATTTCAAAAATGATATCCGATTTTCTTTAATATATCATTCATATGTAGCCTTAAAACAAGATTATCAAAGATATATATATATTAAAATAAAATTCTTCAATGACTCTTTGAAAAAAACTCTTCTCAAGAGATGATCTATTTATTAATCAAATAAGCAATAGAGCCAATGTTAGTGTGTAATGAATATTATACAGAAAAGAAACTAGAAACAGAAATAAAAATCATTGAATCAAATATGAATATAGTTACAAACATTAGAGATGTGCACAGTAAGTTTTTGTTGTACCCTGTACATTGGCTGAGAAAAGTTTTTTTAACCCTTACCTTATAGGATAGGGTAGAGTAGCCATATAGATCAACGAGCCATCAAATTTATCCCGTTTTACTTTTATGTTTACACACTTCTTACAGTTGTAAGAATATTTTAGTCCTTTCTAGTGTACATGTGGGTGTGAGTGAAGGAAATACGACTAACCTCTACACATACACACACCATCCCTACCTGAAAGGACCTAAGAAACTTAAGTAATAAAATGGATTAAAACGACTAAAGAATGAAAAATATAAAAGTAAAACGGGATAAATTTAATTTCTCGTGGACTCATCATATAATGGAGAAATTAATCTATAAGTAATAAAAGCTTCTGTTGAGAGAAATAATATCTTTGTTTATGGTATACTAAATTTATGAAGAACTTCTTGACAATATTAATACTACTTAACATGAATGATTTAATCAAAAATCAAAAAATTGTGTTGCTTCTATTTGGCACAAGCATATTTTCGTCGAAAACTTTTATTGAATATATTTTTGAACTTATAATTATTCAAAATGAAAAAAAAATGGATACAAATCGATTTGAATATATGAAGATATTCAAAACCTACTCTGTTGGATGATGATTAACACTTTCTTTTAGCTGACATAATGGAATACAATACTTGAATAACGCTAAAAAGAAAAAGAAAACTTCTATTTGAAATACAATTCTTACTCTTCGATTGGTTCTAATTAAAAAAAGAAACTTCCAATTTAGTTTAGTTTTGGAAACAAAAGCATGATGCTCGTATTCAAATGTTCACGATCCCCATGAATTCGATGAGAAATGAAAAATCGTTGAGTATTATATTTAGACATAATATTTCAACTCCGATTGCAGCTAAAATTTTGGTTTATCGGCATGGTAGATTCTAGTGGAAATTTGAGCTGATTTCATACGTGAATGAGTGAAACGATCGATCTGAATACGTCCATCGCTCTTGTGGGAGTTTCTTTTTCGAAGGACAATACAAAACTGTATGTATTTGCACGGAATTTCAATGTTCACAAATCTAACAATGAGACTCGACGAGTCTTATGGATTAGTAACAATAGTCCTAGTTCATTACAATCATAGTAGTGAAATGTAGAATATTTTTTCGAATACCGTTGTGATTATGACAATGTTTCTTTTATAGTTTATGGCGGCATGTTTACAGTCGCAATTGACATCTGTAGATAGATCTTAAATATATTGATAACAGATTAATGATTCAAAAAAAGAAAATCCTATGTTACTCGATTTTGAATTTTTAGGTATTCCACCAAACGATTATATTAGTTTTTTTGGTATGCGTACTCATGATATTCTTATGGGTCGCTTAGTAAGTCAGAAATTTCATTAATAGTAAATTTTAGATATATTCTATCTTGTTTAGGTAACTGAAATAATATATGTTCATTCAAAACTAATGATTATTGATGATCGTATGGCTATATGTGGTAGTGCAAATATAAATGATCGTTCATTACTTGGTCAACGTGATAGTGAATTTTGTATTGTAATAAATGATCGTGAAGAAGAACAAGGCCGATTTAATGGGCAACCATATCGTATCGGAAAATTTTGTTCTAGTTGGCGAAGAAAACTTTTTGCGTATGTTTCAAAATTTAGATTAAAAACGACTCGTTTTTTTTTTCTACGAAAAATTGTTTTGTTTTTTTTGTAGCATGCTATTAGGTATTCAATTTGAGAATTCAAAAAATATTGATATAACTGATCCAGTATCAGAAGAATTTTATAATTATTTTCGAGCTATAGCAAGAAAAAATACACTCATTTATGAAGAAGTTTTTGCTACAATGCCAAGTGATCATGTTAGAAAATTTGATCAAATTTCTGGATATAATGGTATGGCAAAAATGGCAGATACTGATCCAATACAAGTATACATTGTAACTATATATATTTGAATAATATTTTTATTCTATTTTTAAGGCTCAACAAAAATTAAAAGATATTCAAGGTCTTGTTGTTGAATATCCACTTTACTTCCTTGATGAAGAAGATTATCTACCAAGTATAAACACTCCCGAAGGTAAGAATTTCCGATCAATTACTAATGATGGTTTTGAAACAGCCATCATTTGATGAGTGTCACGATTTTTTTTTGAGAGAGAGAGAGGAAAAAAAGTCATTTCTAGTTAGGACTATGATGTATGCTCTCCGATAACCTTCTAATAAGGTCGATTTAATCAATTATCTGTTATTTCATTTTTTTTGTTTCTTTTAGGTATCGTTCCAACTGTTACGTGGACATAGAGCATTTATTTATTTATTTATTTATTTACTTTTGTAAATATAACTTTTTAAATCAAAAAAAAAAGTCGAATAACATGGTTATATTAGGATGATATTTTTATTTAACGAAAAATATTTTTTTTAATTTATATTCATAATTGAACGTGTTTTAACTTTGTGTGATACTTCAAATAATCCTGTGTCTCATTTTTATTATTTGTCTTTCTTTTTTTTTTTTTCTTAAATGTTTTTCTCAATGCATTAATTGTTTTTTTTTTTCGATCGATCACTATTTTTCATTTTCTTATTTAACTTCTCATTTTTTTATTATTTATGAGTATTTTCATTTTGATACATATATAGATGCGGTACAACTCAATATTTCTTTTTGTATTAAATGATAACAACAAGAAGTTAATAATGCATTTAAGACTTTAATATAAACAAATTTCTATTCAAGATTTTCAGATACATAAATTTAGAGAAAAAAAAATCTGTCTATATTTGACAACAAAAGACAATGTGCATAAATTTCACATTTTTAAATCGTTGTCACTGAGTATTTTAAGTGTTTCATTATCATTATATTAAAATAATGTGTAATAAATTGATGCATTGAAATGTAGTCGCAATAACAAATATACTGTTTTTCTTAAATATGATTTTTCTTTACAATACGGAGAAAACAATCGACAGAAGACAATAGGTTGTTTTATCTAAATGATCAGTATTATTCTTTCCAGAAACTTTAACTGAAGTCTTTGTTGTTAGATAATCCTGAAATGAAACTTATTGTGTTGGCTATAAAACTCATTTGTTTTCATTGTAATATTTCATGAACAAATCATTTCGAATGTATTTGAACAAAAGAAAAACAAGCAAAAATGGAAGAAATATATGAATATAATATCGACTATAAGGTTTTATCAATCATAAAATTTATGCTAGACTTAACATAGAACTAGAGAAAAGAATCGATGAAAATTCTTAGCGCCAAAATTAATTACTTTGAAAAAAAAATGGCTATTTCAGTTTTTGTCGAATTGAAGACTTTTGCACGCAAATATCATATTGATCTACTGTCTTTATCTCATGATGCTAACCAATACTATTGACTAACTTTAAGAGGATAAATATGATCTAAGATTTCTAACATTAGTCTATCTCATTGATAAATATAAACAATATCGTTTATCATACTTTGAGATATAGCAAGTCAACTTTTGTTTTGAGAGTCTCATATGATGATCCGATCTTACAAAACATGGAGATAATCATAGGAATATTCTATTCTGCAAATGAACTTTACACTATTTTTCTCGTTTTCATAAAAAGATTTGTCTTCAATATTATTTTTCAAAGTTACAAAAACGTTCTAAAATCTTTTCTATAATCCACACATACTGAAGCACAAAAACAAAGAATATCTTACAGATTGTCGAAAGTTCAAGTACAATCTTATTTTTCTTTTTATGTGCAAGTTATTATAAGATAAATCAATCATAACAAGGTAAAACTATATATTTGAGGTAATGAGACAGCGAAGAAATGCCAAGAATAAAAAAAAATTCTTTCAATAATGTCATCTGATCTACTCTATCGGCAACAGCCATAGAACTTACACTCTTAAAGGTTTTCAGCGATTACTAGATAAACAATAGGATTCACAAGGCAAAAATTATCTTTTAAGATATTGATTATAATACGATAATAATTGTGTTTTCATAGCTCGAATGTAATTTAACTTGTGATACAATTGATCTAAGTGCACTTATGAATCACTCATATAAATCAGGTTGTGCATAAAAAAAAACTATGTTGATGAAGTTTTTGTGTTGTAAGGTATCAAATCAAGCTCAATACTTACTGTCGATTATACTATTTGTACTATGGATCGTAAGAAATTAGCTTTCTTTTGACATGTGTCATTGTGGAACATCATCATGCTCTAGTTAGAATGAATACACACGTTATAAAACACTTGAATAACAAAATGAGTTTTACTAGTACTTCTCACCATATGTAAAAAGAAAAATCGATTAAGTTCATCAATCTTATTCTCTGCGATATTCAAATAAACTTTGAATTATTTTTATTAATCAAAGAAAAAGATAATCTATATAAGATAGACTTTGAATCGTTGTTAAAATTAGAGGAAACATAATTGATTTAATTCATAATTAAAACAATGATTTGCTTGAAATGAAAAGAACATTGTTAAACACAAACATTTTTCATTAGAAAAACGAGATACATATAAAATTGGTTATTTGATTCCAGTTCACTTCTTTGAGATCGTTAAAGTTAATGTATTTTACAACTCATGACTATGGGCAAAATGGAATTAGATTGTTGATAATATATTCTTACAGCAGTAGATAATATCTGAAGAAAGGTCTTTCGTACATGTGATGACATCCATAAAAGAAATTATCTAGCAGTAAGACATATAATAATACAAATCTAAACAATACAATAGAAAAAAGTGTCGAGATTTTGTCATAACATAGTCGATGTCAAATATGGCAAGTGAGATTAATCAATCAATTCGTTTTAGACATCAACGTATGACTTAAGCAATAAATTATCTTAAAATGAGAACTGAAGATTATCTTCAATAACACAGAAGAATTGGATAGGATACAAAAAAAAAAAAACATGTTTCAATAGATAAGACTACAGCTATGATTATGCAAAATTTGGGTTATCATTTATCATTTAATGTAATATAAACAAGTTTTAAGTATTAGATCTTTCTTTTCAACTAAACATTAATTTGAAAAGTTTTTTTTGCTTCATTTTCTTTTGTAGCAAGCTTCCATAAATACAATGTGTTATTAGATGAAAGAAACGAAATAAATATATTCTATTAACTAACATTGAAAAAAAATATTTATCTGTGTTTTTTGAATCATGATCTTGAATGCGTTCGTTTGCAGAAGCCATCTATGTCAATATATGATTCTTTTAATTTATGGCCTCTATTGAACTATTCAATTGTCATCATTGTTATTCTATCGATAAATCAGAGTCTTTGTGTAAGTTATATATCGCGTTTTTTTTCTCCGTTTGTTGTGAAAAGGGCACAAACAGTGAGAGAGAGAGAGGGAAAAGCTGATCAAACACAATTCAAATTCATATTCAATCGTTTTTCTCCTTTCTATCTAATCAATTTAATGAAGCCTGAATATCTCTAGACGAATGAACATACAAATAATTTTGTATGTATGTGTAAAGAGACATGATCCTAATTACAAACAAATCAAGGCGGGGAACTTACGTCAACAATAAAATTCTTCGTTCTTTTTTTCATTTACTCATTTAATTCTAAAAGTTCAAGTACATGTCATAAAAAAAAAGGAATTGTATCAACAAGTGAATGAATCATGATAATTACTTGATCAAGTGAATACAATGACCTTTACATGAAAATATATTTTTTTTTTGATTAATCTTTACGTGTAAATAATCAAATTGTTGTATTCATTTCAATTCATCTGTTATCATTTCAATATAAATATGAGTAAGCGAAGAAAAAGAGAAAAATCATTGATATATATATATATATTAAGTGTACATTGAAGAACAGAAAAAAAACTAACCCCTTCCATATTTTCACATGAACATTGAAGTAAGAGTACATCTTCATATTTCTCTTGTCTTCAGTGCCTTGTTATCTTATTAGTTTGACGCGTGCACGCGTAGTGTTTTCCCATAAATCACACTCTCATATATATACATACATTGATGGCAGATTGAGTTGGGTATACGTATATACACTTGCTGGCTCTTGTCTATCTCTCGTCATGCGTCTCCATCATTTTTATAGGTTCCAATCATCAGTCGACCATCTGGCTAGAGACTCATCATCCTTGTGTGTATATATTTGTGTTTATCTAATGAAAGTTTCCTATTATCATTGTCGATGAGAAGCGAGAAATTCTTTTTTTTTTTTTTAATCACATCTAGATTTCTCTGTCAATTGTAACTATATGATTCATTTCTGACGTACTAGCGAAAAAACAAATATTCCCATATATGTTATTATATGTTTACACAACGATTGAATACCAGTGAATGAAGATTAGAACACCCGAACTAAATCTGAACATTAACATTTCGTACAGATTTATTTATATTAATCCTTTTTCATTGTTCTTTATCTCGTTTATAAGATGTCTTCATTTTTACATTAGATTTTCTTTATTATTGTCATCTTACTATCAAATCGCTTCTGTCATCACTATGGTTGGTCGTTCGGTAAGCCTGTTTTTTTTTTTAATATCATTTATGTAAATAGCACATCCGGCAAAGAGATAGAAAGTATTGTCATAAGAGTTACTGATTAGGTGATGATCAAAGAAAAAAAAAATAAGCGAAGATAGAAGAGAGTTGTAAATTGATTCGAGAGTACTTGTTGTTTCTTCTTGCAAGTTGCAAATTGATGATAGCCGAAGGCAAAAAAAAAACGCGGCGAAAGAACAGAATTATCTACTGCTACTGGTATGTATAAGTTAGGTGTTAGATGAGACATATGGTTTGTAGATAGAAAATTATTAGTTCAAGTATGAAAAATAATGACTTGTCAAAGAAATTTTTTCCTTATCAAAGAAAGCGGTTAGTTTTTTTTTTCTATACGTATCACAATAGCTATATGAATGTTGTAAAGAATAATAATAAATAAGCGCGAAACATTATATCATTTGTTTTTTGTTGTTTAAATTGATCGATCTTTTTTTTGTTCGTATTTTGTTATATTCATCTATCAAATATCATTTTCTTGATTTGATATAAACAAAAACAAAAAAAAATGGTTAAACAAAGTGGTTCAAAAAAATCAAAACAATCACATAAAACAGATCACAAAAGTGAACATACTGAAAAAAGTAAACAAGCAGCTGGTAAAAGACAACCAAGTGGTTATCTTATGTTTTGTGCTGAACAACGAGAACTTCGAAAAAATGATTTTGAAAAAATGAAACCCAAAGAAATTATGCAACATTTAGGAGCTGAATGGCGAAAATTATCTGCTCAACAACAAGACGCTTATAAAGCTAAAGCTCCTGTTAAAACACATCATGAGGTATGTAATAAAGAAGAATCAAAATCACAAAAACCTCAACAAACACATACGAAAAGTGCTGCTCATCATCATTCTGGTACAAAAACAAAAGGCAATACAATTCATAATACTGGTACAAAAGGTGCTTCAAAAAAGAAGACAACTACAAAGAAAATAAAACATGCACATGAAAAATCAGCTAGTCGAAAATTAGCTCATAATCATCATGAAAATAATCATGAAAATGATGTTAGTCCATCATAATAAATTAATATAATGAAGAAAAAAAGAGACTTGCGTAATTTATCGATAAAAATAAATTGTTGTTTTTTTCCTAGTGAATATTAATGCAAATTTTTTCCGAGTATAATAAAAATAAAGAATCAGTTTTGTTAATAACTATTTTGTTTTATTAGAAGAATATATTACAATGCTCTTCAGTTTTTTTTTATAATAATACAGTAGACAATCCGATTAGTCACATTCATTGACTCACTCTGTAGTCTACCGGTCGTTCGTGCATATATTATTCTGCTTCGAGCATATGTGAATTAAGAAAAATAATTGACTTTTTGCTCTATGACTGTTACTTTTCTAGCTATAAAAAAAAAGAAAACTTTGTGAACTAGTTCCATTGGGACAATGAACATTTATAATCGTTGTTAAACATGCGATATACACGAAGCTTTTAATAAAATGAGGTCGTGCTCTTTTTATATCGAACTGAGTAAACACATGTTAGAATTTGCACAACAAGAGACCGAGAAAGAAATAAAAAGATAATAAGAAAGCTTCTTTGTCGTTTTCATCTTCTTCTTCTTCTTAGTTTTTCTTTTTTTTTTATGGTATAGAAGGAAGAGCTCTTCCGTTGTTCTCGATTGGTGCTTGTCAACGATTGGATGTTAAGCATCTAAAACTATTCTTTTTTTCTTCTTTTTTTTTTTCTACGCTCTCTCTGTTTCGTCATCGACACAACAAACTATAGTATTAGTAAACCAAAGAGAAAGAAAAAAAAAGAAAAAAAAATATGTGAGCGTCAGAAACGACGATCGCAGTAAAAAAAAAAGCAGCATCAGCAGCAGTAATAGAAGAATTAAAACAGCATCGTAGAGTTACGAAAGAGACGAGTGTATTTTTTTTTTTGTTTCATCATGTCAGGTGTAACTAATATTATTGATAGTAATTTTACTGATATATCGAGCAAAGCAACGGAAAGACTTGTATACAATCATCCAGTATTGAATACTGGAGCAAAAAATGTAAGTAATATATCAAATAGATAAATTATTTTTTCTTAAAATTCTGTATATCAGAAAAAAATTTATAATTGAAATTAAATACATTTGAGTTATTATACTGATAAGATGATACAAGACTAATTTTTCATCACGTATATATATATACAGATGAAATATGTGTTTATCTATCAATTGAAATAGAAAACCGAGCAATGAATCAATCATTAGATTTAGTTCTTCCTTCAATCGGATCATAATCATTTATTGAAGTAGTGAATCGTTATGTGTTGTACTAGTCTCAAGTATGCCCTTTCGAGTAGTGTATCAATTCATGTACATATATATATATACGTATGTATACACCTGTATTAGAACGAGTCGATCTAATTTCACTGTCTAAACAAACTCAGTGAGTAGAGAAGAGAGGAACGAGACTAACCAGTTGAATCGCAGACCCATGTGATTTTTTTGTTACTCTGTCTCTCCTCGGGCAAAAGAATATTGTATGTTTGTTTTTCTACCTCGTTGCTCTATGGATGCCGCCGTCACATCCATCATGCATGATGATGACTTGAATAAAACATACCGATTGTAAATCATTTCTGCTTAATTTGTTTTGTGTGGAAATGTGTATTATGAATTAATTCGATGTCCGACTTAATGTTTAGTATTTGACGGATAATTTCCTGAACTTATATATATATATAGTAGTTTGCTTTTTTTTTGACAGCCAATGACTCTTCAACGACAAGAAATCAAAGACCGTTTGGATGCTTCACCACATAGTAAAACAATCGTTGATTTAGATGAAATCATTGAAAAATGGGTAAGTTGAAAGACATATCATGCTGTTTTATACATATGAAAAGAGAAATAGAGAACACAGCAGGTATACATATAGAACAATATATGGCTCATAGATTGAATATAATCGAATGATATGAATTGCATCATTAGATGCGACATATTTTATATTGAATATTTCTATTCGTGTTTAAAAAAACCATTATATTCATTTTTTTTTGAGCTGGACGGAAATGTGTTCTCCAAAGTTTTTAATAAGGAAACGGTATGTCATATTCACTTTATGATGAATGAAATGCTCTATTGGAATAGGAGATGTTAAGTACGTGTCATATCACGTTCTCCTTTTTAAATCAATTTTACACTATATATTTGAAAAAAGAAGGGATACTATTCATTAATGAAACAGCTTTTTTGTTTCCAAATTTCATACTTATTTGATCTCTAGCAATTGGTGTCTTAATTGAAACCAAACTAGTAAACACATTGTTATCGTCTCTCGTCTATTCTTCAAAGTATTAGATTAGATATTCCCATGAGGAAAAAACAAGAATGTACACATGAAGTTAATCAGAAAAAAAGAATTTGATATGTCTTACAGTATTTTTCTTTTTTTTAGGTATGGAAAATGTGGGAATTATCAAAACGTTCACGAGAAGATTCAAAATATCGTCGTGAAGAACTTGATGTAAAATTAAATTGGAAACGTGTTAATTTTTGGCAATCTGAAGCTGTTTTTACTCGACCAGCTCAATTACGAATGCCTAAATCTCAAATATTATTTCGAACACATTTTTCAAATAATACGGAAAGTGAACAAGAATATTCATTACGTGCTGAACGTTCAACAATAACAACATTAAATTTTACATTTATGCGTGGTTTTACAAAAGAAAAAGAAGGTTGTGTTACATTAAAATTACCAAATGAAGTCTTAGAAGTTGGTGGTGGTCTTCGACATGAACAACGTGTTGATTATGGAAAAGATTCAACATTTGAAACACAAATGACTTGGTCAGCTGACTCAGCTATTCGTGTTGCACCACATTCAAAAGCTAATGCTGAGTAAAGATTTTCTCTTGTTTTTTTTTTCTTCATATCATTTCAAATATAATTTTAATTTTATGTTTAGATTATGTATTACTGAAGAAGAATATTCAGCTGATTTTTCTGTTGAAGTACGTTTTAGTGGTAGAATATCAGCTATGATTAGTACACGAAATAATACAGGTGGCTATTATAAATATATGGAAGGTGATTTAGCAACAATATTTGCTGAATTATCACGTACAGGTGGTATTGGTGGAAGTTCAGGTCAATTTGAAATTCATGAACAAACACAAACAGTTCGAACAGTAATGACAGGAAAATGTGCATTTCGATATGGAATCGAACAACATGTTAATGTTGAACAAGAAAAATTACCAATGTTACCTTCATCATCAATAAAAACAAATGAACCTCCACCTAAATATCGGCCACTTTTTCTTTCAAATAATGCTCATTAAAAAAACTCTTTTATTTATTGTTGTAGTCACTATGCTCTGTTTTTCTTGTATATGGAAATGTCCGGTTTATCTTTTTAGCAAAAAAAACAAATAACTATAGGATGTATTGTCTTCGGTTAAAATGACAAAACTGAAACCAACCACTGACAGATGAATATACAGTAGTTGCAAAAGTTTCACTACTGGTAAAAAGTACATAAACTTCAATCGTTTTCTTTGATATTTTGAGTACGAACCGAGTTTTCTAAAGTTCTGCTCACAAGCAGTAACTCGAAATCGATGAGACTAAATCTAAAGGATTTACGGGGAGAATACTAGTTTTTTCGCCGAAACTCAAAAAAGGGTATTTTTAACACTTTTCTGATTTTCCATTATTTAAACCTGTTAGCCTCTATTTTTTTTATTTACAAATATATATATATACGCATATCTATATTATGTTACAGATAGAATCTTACAGTACATTGTAACCTTGAGACACTGTGAGAAGTCCATTTTCTGGAATGGTCTCAACAAGGAGCTCTTTTACATCGATGGTCACGATTGTGAAATTTTCACAGAAAAGTTTATTAGAGCAGGGCACTCACTGAAGAAAATGTCAAGGCCTATGGTTAAAATAAGCTAGAGAGCTATGTCAATGTTCGACGATTCTCGTCAACTTTTATTTTGATATTATGCTAAAGATTACTTCATACATTAGACAAATTATAATCATGGGACATAAAATTTGTATTTGTGATAGAGGCAGCACTGAGCTATCGAATGAAGGGCCTAACATGATCAAGTTTATTTTCTATGTTGAGATATCCTCGTTTAAAATTAAAAAAAATGTCTCGAAGGAAGATCTCCAAGTGTGGCGCACCGATCAAATGGTTATTTTGCCCACAAGTAGATTTTAGTGAGACTAGGAGAAGTCTAGAAGAGTTCGTCGCCATATGCTGCACTTCTCAAATTACGACTGTTTTCTTTCTTTTTTCTGTTTCAAGCAAAGCATACATGAACGAATTCAATAATGAAAGTTTGCCTATAGATAAATCCTATGATCCCGATAGTTTTCTAAAAACTCCAATCCGTTCATATATGCTTTACTTAGAGCAGAAAATATAGGAACACAGTCGTAACTTGAGAATTACAGCGTATGGGAACGAACTCTTGTAGACTACTTCTAATCTCATAAGACCTACTTGAAGATAAAATAATCACTTCATCGGCGCTTCACATTTGGAGACTTTTCCTGATTAATATCAGCTCTTGTACGATCTTATATCATCAGGTATGATTTAGACAGAACGAAGAACAAAGTATGACAAAGTTCATCCTGAAGGACACATCTTGTACGACAAAAAGCTCTTCTACATCCCGCCTAAGAGACGATCTTTGCATTACATTTTTGACAAGCATAAAAATTTGTATGAATATGAGGCATCATGTCAAATATCATAGAAGTACTGTTTATGTAAAAATTATTTGCAACAGTCATGTAGATAAACCTTATCACATGTGGTTCAGCAGAAATAAAATGAACAAAAGAATAAGAGAACAACGATAATAATACAGAATTCACAATATAATCAATACTGAATATGAGGTACAATATCATAGATCATAAATCATGCTACTAACCGTATGAAATGTTTTTGAACAGAAATAATATGAAAAAAAGTAGATATCTATAAGATGCATAATAAAATAAGAAAACAAAAGCAAAAGTATA